GAAGGCAATCTACTGTACCACTTTGGTATCACAGGGTCAATTTGTCACGATCACGCTGCTGTTCTAAAGCAATTTGAACTGATCAAACAAGCATACAGGGAGATGTTGATGTGTTTAAACGCAGGCTGAGCCTGTTCCGATACAGCCGAGACTTTGCCAAGTTGTCGATTCATAAAGTGTGGGCAAATGATAGCGAGCTTGTGGAAAAACGAGGGGCTTCCTTGCTTCCGGCTGCATAGTGATTCGTGTACATTTGCAATGGAGCTTTGAGAAGGGTAGCCTCTCCAACCTGTCGGGGGTTTCCAAGTGTCCCTTTTGCCCAGGCAATGATTCTTTGAATTGCACTTTCACCTGTCATGAATCCCCGTGATGATGTCCAAAGGGTTGTTGCATGAATCTTACTTTGCAAAATGAACATGGAGTCCAAACAATGGCGTCTTGGGTGCTGTTGTTTGCCTCACAGGGGATACCAGATGACACGGGCATTTCCAAGGCTCGGCTACTGCCCATCTCTGAGATGCTGAACGATCTGCGACGTTCGAGTCCTAGCGCCAGGTGTCCCACTAAGCCCTTTCATTGCCACGGTCATTGCGCAACTGGGTTTCAATGTTTCTATATTACCGATTCTCGGGAGTCTATGTCAGGTTTTTGCGCCGCTCTTGGTGTGAATGTCCTTTGGGCATGTACAAGTTCTCCCTGGTTCACAAGCTAATTTGAACCCAGAAGCATGACTGAAGGAGGCAGGTCCATTGAGGGCCCAATGTAAGAGGAAACACCCCCCCATAAATCTTCCGGGTCGGTTGATGAATCCGGGATCAACCTGGCATTGCACGTTGCGAAGCGGGCTTTGGCCAGTAGAGCCCACCTTTTGGCACCCTCACGTTGAAACCAGATCCCTGGACAGTCCCCAAGCTTCCAACCTATTTGAACTCTCCCGGTTTCCTTCGGCAGGGCCTTCCAGACGGCGTATTGCATTGGACGCCGAACCGCCGAACCGCCGAACCACACCCAGACCGCTTCGGCGCCGAAGGAGCGGCAGCCGATGTTTTGAAAGTACACCGAACTGGACCAGCCGCACTTGGGAACTGGAGCTGGATGTGTTAGACACGGTGCCCCGCATTGACAGAGGAACAAAGCAGCGACCCGGGAGCTGGATAAGCCCCGGTGAATCTCCAAATCCGCGAAGCTTGTTGAAGCCCGCATCGGGGGCTAGAAGCTCATAAGGTTGATTTTCCCAAAGGGATTGATTTTTCTTCAGGCCCTCTGCTTAGGTGCGATGAATAGCAACCATGACCTGTTGAATTTCCAAGAAGGAAGCCGAGAGGGGATGTGTTGTTGTACACATTGATTCAAGAGGCCATCCCTACGCCTGTCACTTTTTCGCATCGGGCTTTCCCTACGCTTGCCCGCTCAGGTCATGTGGCCAACCTTCAGGTGAGCGCCTCGTGGGAAGGGGAAGCCGCACCATGCGAGCGACAGCTGAAGCGATTGTCCAAGATGGTTTCCGCAGGTTGGCACCCTACGATGAGTAAATCATGTCGGAACTATGAAAGTAAAATTTCTGGGGTATCTCAGATGTGGGCCAAGAAGCAGGCTCTTTGATGGGATCTACATTTAATGGGTGTCTCAAATAGGGGAGAGCAAAAGTGGTGGTTGCCTTGTGCGCCTGTCCACCGTGTCTGTCCAAGTCATTGTGGCGCTGCTCCTAACTCGCTGTCGCTGAGATTGGCGCCCTTTGCTAACAGTCGGGCTGTCGGGCTTAATCAGACCAACAAACTATAGCAAGGAGACACGAGGTCAGTGTTCCATTCGCCCAACGTGAGCTCGCCGATCGGAGGTAAAACGAGCTCACCATGATGAAGGTACCTTAGTTGGAGTCCATGTCTTTCAACACGGGAGCCATAGCGGCCATGAATGGTCTTTAATCTCCCCGAAAAAAGTACGCTAGTTGCCTAGTCGCCATTAAGTTGCAATCGCTGCCCTCATGTCCCTGAATCAGTATATGGGGGGTCAAACATATTGCCACCTTGTGCGCGACCCCTTCACTCGCCCAACATGGAACCCACCTGGCCGTTTGAAATGGGACATGGTTTGCCAGGGTCAGGTTCCATGTTAGTTGGGTGCTTATTTCAGGTGTTCATTGTGACTGTGAACCTGAGGTTCCCTAGGCACGTCTGGTTTGCGACTGTAGGACCGATCGCGGAACTGGTCGCTGGATTCTCAGTGTGAGACATTGAGACTGCTTTGTGTCACCAAAGCTTCGGGCTTCAGTGTGCTTCAGGCCTGGTCTTTGGTAGGAGAAATCTTGGACTTGGCAGCAAGGCTTGCTGCAGGTTGGGTTTTTGCAACCTCCAAGAAGGGAACAATTGGTTTTCCTTGACTAGGCCGACAACCCCTTTGCGGAAAATCCCATGAGGAAAGTCCTCAGGCACTTCTGGCGCCCGAGGTTGGACACGGAGATGCACCGTTTAGAGCCGTGGCCTCAAGCTTTCTGTTGGCTAGCCATGTCCTTTCTGCCATGGAACCCACCAAAGGGCCCCTATCCTTTTGTGGAGGATGGTCCACCTGCAGGGATCGCCCAGTTCCATATTCGGAATGACTTCCCGGGCGCCAAGTAGCCCACGCTTCCCGGCCGTCATATAATCTTACCTGTTGAGTGTGTTTGGCTCACCGTGCTGCATTGATTCATCGCTATAGCTTTCCAAGAGTTTGAAACATTTGGCCAGCGCTCCGCCTGGATTGAGCTCTACAAGGCTCGGAGTGTGAGCGGGCTTAGTTCATGTGATCCCACCCGGGTCTTCCATTGGATGGCAAAGACTTTAGAATGTATTTTAGACCCCCGCGTCTACTCACGTGTCGGGAATACATCGTGTTGTGGCATACCCCGTATTATGAGTATATATGAGTATTTAAAGTATTAATATGTATTTGTGAGGTGCTGGTTCCCCCTTGGTGGGTAGAAGGCAAGCAGTGTACAATCAACGCACGGAGGTGCAGCCTCCTGTCACGAATCCCTGCGGGCGCACAACTGGGGATTTGTTTTTTGGCTCCATGGTCAAAACTCCGGCAACCAGGTACCAAACACCACATGGGTTACACAAACAATCCTTGAATCATCCGGCTGCCACGGAAAGAGCCCATCTGAGTTATCCCCACCCCCTTAAAAATGGTTTTAGGGGAGGGGTGACCCCTGGAAATCGATTTCTGGTTCCATTTTCCCTTTTGTTGGGAAGACTAAATGGAATTGGGGGCCCCTGAGTTTTCAAATCCAAGGCTTCTCTTGGAAAGCCCTGCGCTTGGGTTCCGGGCGAACCGGTGGGTTCCGAGGCAGAGACTCAGCTCCTCGCGCAGGGACCGCCCAGATCGGCCCGAAAGACTGTCGCAGCGTGGGGCGAATCGATCAATCCTCTTTGAAATGGGCGCTTGATTGTTATCGGGTTGGATCATTCAGGCTTGAACTTTTTGTTTTCCATTGACCTCACAAGAAGTCAATCTTTTTTGCAGAGGGGTCAACAGCAACCAAGGGTGCAAGTTTTGAAATGGTCCCTTTGGTGGACATCATTTAGTTGGGGATTCATGTCCACCAATCACTTTTGAGGTGGGTCCATACTCAAATTCACAGCCAAATGAGGTTTGGTTACACTTTCCCGTGTCCAACATATATCGGGAAACTCAGTAGTTTTCTTATGTTTGTTTGGGGACACAGGAAGTTGGACCGCAGCTCATATGGATTTGCAGTTCCAGCTGGGTCAACTTGTCAACGTTTGGTGACATTTAAGGTGTGTTTGCCCTTGGCCAAGCAAAATGGTGGTAGAACGCTGCAACTCCTGCAGGGTTGAACGTTGACGGGAGGTTCTCTACATGCGTGGGCCAGAATCAATTTCACCATGTTGTGTTCCAGCAAAAGCGGAAGAACCGTACCTGAAAGTTCTGGGGGAGATAATTCAACCCTCTGAGGTGTTGTTCTTTTCTCCTAGTGCGGTTTTGTCTTAGGTTTCGTTCCTTGACTGGCTGGCTGGTTGGTTCTTTTTCAGAAGGGCCGCTCGCAGGGATGTAGTTGTGCAGCTCCAATGCCGGTAACTACCATGCTTTTTTGCACCCATCAACGGCCGCGCTCTTTTTTTTGGGGGGTTCCCAAGAGCAGTGTTCCAGTTCTTTCCCGATTCTGTTGGGGTCACTGGCTGCAACCGGACCCGAGTTAAATGACAGCATGCTCCGCAAGCTACGGCTCCAGGTTTCGACGCCGTGGGCGATCTCGAGAACAGGACCTGTTGGTCACGTCATTGTTATGCCCAGTTGTTCAAAACCGACGATTTGACCTTTTGGTTTTCCCCTGTTGGTCGACTTTTAGTAAAGGTTTCAAGATGTAAATCAAATGGGTCATAGTTTTCTGGCCAATCCACTCGTCAAGCCCGGAAGGCTCGCAGCCATGTCAAAAAAAATGGGCCAGGACACGGTTATCCATGGAAGCCTTAGCGGCAGAGGAGGCGCCGAGAACAAGTGCGGGAAGCCACAGCTTGTTTTTGTTTTTCCCCTCCGAATGCCGAAATCGACCTTTTACCCTCCTCCCGCTAACATAGCACCTCGCAGAGGGTGCCTTTAATAAGAATGTTGGTTGGAGGAATGGTACCAATTATGCTTTTGGTTCCCCTGATTTGGTCCATATTGAGTCAAGGTTCCAAAATTTGGATTTCCGCTTCCTTTGGGCAAGGGAGCTTGGTTCCATTTACCCGGCACATGTACATGTACCATGGCAGGTGGACATGATTCTTGCAAAATGCACATGGAATTGCTGTCGCGAGAGGCTTGCTTCATGTGTTAAAGCGTCCATAGCAACAGGAGCCCAAAATCCACCGCACTGTGGCGGAAGCAAAAAGTAACCAAGCATACCCAACAAACATGCCCGCGGCAGCACCTGTTCACGCTGCGGAAGCGTGTTGGAAGGGTGCGCGGAAGGTTGAAAAATGTCATCAGACAAAGAAGAGATCCCGCAGGTTAACATGGAAGCTCCCAGAAGGTTTAAGTAGGTGGAACCAAGTCTTCCGAAGGGGTCCTGGGAGCTTCCAAGTTAGTCTGGGCGAAGGTGCAAGACAAAGCTCAAGTGAGTACGGGCCTCGAGCTCGCCAATTCGGGGGTACAAGTAGCTCGACCGCACATTTGGTGGCATCTTACATGTTTGCCCCTGACTAAATGACAAATTTGATTCGCAGGTTTTGTGATAAAGTAGTGCACTTTCATTGTTGGCCTCCCCTTTGTCCGACAATTCTCAGAACCCACCCAGCCTTTGAATAGTTTGATCAATCTATTATTCAGACAGTCTGTCGCCAACTGTCCAAATCTTTCTATCCATCTATCTATCTATCTAGATCTGTGGGGACCGATTTTGTATGGGTTTGAAAGGGACACCCCAAACGACGCCATGAGTTGGACACCTCAGATCCCAGCCGCGAGAGACTGGGAGACTCGTTGAGAGGCGCAGGCGCGGCACCAGCTGGAGCTGCGTGCGGGCGCCTGGAGAAGAAGAATCCGAAGCGCCGTGTCGATGGGTTCGAAATGGGGAGTCCGAAGGTTTTTTTTGAATCCTCCTCGGTTTTTTGGGTGTGTTTTTTTTGGGGGGGCTGTTTTTTTTTGGTGTGGCGGGGGGGATGATTTGATGGTTGTGTTAACGGAAGGGGGGAATCCTCAGGCTCGTTTGGGGCAATCCTTGGTTTTCTTCGAGGGGGCCTGATCTGCTGGGAAAATCATAAGGGATGGTTTGGAGTTTGGGGGGTCATTCCAGGTCTCATTCCATCTCTTTGCCTGTGAGCAAGTTGCTAGGGTCACCTCTCAGAATTTTACACCACGGTGAAAGCAGGTCCCTTTCTGGTAAGGGGCATAATGACAGAATGACATCATCGTTTGTCCTTGGCTGCTGGGTTGATCTTTAGCCTTTCATTTGTTCGGAAGTCGTGATTGGCAGGAACCGGCAAAAGTTGTTCGCTCATTGGGTAGGTTATTGTGAGTGGACTTCAGCTTCAGGGCGCGACGTCGCCGGTTTTTGGGGAGCCTGAATCGGAGCGAGCAAGCCATGAGGGTCCTCACTCCAAGTCTTGTTTCAGGCGCTGGAACTTGCGGCCACGGATGGATTTCCGCTGCCATAGGTGTCCTTTTTGGTTGTTTTGGTAGAACGAATAGGCGGCCCTGGTATACCTGGTGATTTAATCATCTACCAGGGCCATCTATTGCCCCTAAAAGGACACCTATGTCAGCTGCATGCTTCACCCCATGCGCGTTTTTGGCATGGTGCATGGCTTGTGCTGGCCAGCCGAGGCCTCGGCCAAGTCGAGGCCATCACCAAGGCGCGGGTCAGACGATGCGCGGAGACTCGCGGAGCAACAACCAACAACAATGCCCGCTAGTGGGTTCTGAGAGTTGCATAGACACGCCTGTGATAACTATCCCAAAGCAGGCACAAAGGGAAATGAAGCAGATGCTTAAGTCCACCTTCAAAATATGGGATCCTGCATGGAAGGCCTTCCAAAGTTTGATTCCACAGGATGATCGGTGGTTTGGATTTGTGGTTTCCCGTTGGCTGTCTTCGAGGGCTTCATATCCAACCACGCAACGGGAAGGTGAAGGTTTGGGGGCAGTCCCAAGATGTCCCAGCCAGGTGCAGATATCAAGAAGCCCTTCCATTTTTGTTTTGGGTTGACTCCTTTCATACCAGCGTCACCTACAGATGTCCTGGAGCCTACCTAGATCCTCTGAATCTGGGGGGTCGCAATACCTCGCTCCCTTCGGCTGGGCACAAGGCAAGGATCGCTGGGGTCTTATCATTGAGGCTGCTTTGAGCATGGCGTAATTTGACTCAACTCTCCCATCAGTTCTATGCTCCTTTGTCCTTGTCGCTGGGGAAGCGGGTGTCTCTGAGCCTGGAGCTTGCGAGGGGATCCGCATCCCAGTTGCTCACCGGCACCCTCTAAATCCCCTGGTGGTTTGCTGGGTTCGCGACCGAGCATGGACTCATCGCCTTCATTGGTTCCGTTTCCTTTGCAACGGGCTGTTCCCAACACACCTGAGCTACATGATTTTGGGGAATTTTCTGTTCACGGCTTCCCCCGTCCCTCTCGTTTTGCTCACCCTCCCACCAAGTACCCTGGAATCACAGACTTTTTGAAGACTACTTCCCCTTCTGGACCACTGGGGACGGGGGCTGTGCACTTCTATGCCCGTGAGAGGTGCTTTTCTCTTTGTGTCGTTGTTTCTTCCTGTCCCATCGTCTCCCCCCCTCCCAGCCACGCATCCAAACCTGGAGTCTTGCGGAACCGTTTGTGTGTAGTGATAGTTTAGGTGATATCTTTAGGGTCAGCTCAAAGCGGAGAGTCGGAAAGTCTTTTTTTTTGTACAGACGTGCCAAGGAAAGCAACAAGAAAAACACGAAGACATGGCTCTGGGAGTAGCCCACTCTGATACCGGAAGAGAAACACACAATGCCGGTTTCCTTGCAGGTGCTCACAAGGGAATGACCCAGGGTTTTGGGAATGCACCGTTTGGGGGATTCCCGAAAGGCAGAATACGTAAAACCATAGGATAGATGCTTTATAGGGGTCACTCTATTTGGCTGTGGGTCAAAAATGCGTACCCAAAATGGAACCCTCGTAAATGACACCAAAGACTAGAACACTCGGTCCTCTGGTGGTTTTCTTTTGACCCATACCCATGCTTTTTGCCAAGGAGCCCCCCATGGCTGGCAAATAACCCCAAAGCAGCCATTGGGAGGTCATTCAGACCATTTGCCAGCCATTGGGAGGTCCTGGTAGGGCTCATTCAATTTCTCATTCCCCTACCGAACCGATCGCAAATTGACCAGCTGTTCTTGCAGGAGTTGCTTGTCAATCAGTAGCAGGAGTTGGCTGTATCTTTTTGGAACCCTGCCGTGTGTGGACAAACAACAACTTGACTGCTATTGGGTTGGATCTCTAGACTTTAACTTTTGGGGAAACCAAGTTGGGTTTTCCACTAAACCCAAAAAGCAAAAACAACTTTTTGCAGGGAGGTCAACAGCAACTAAAAAAACACAACCTTTTCGGTGTCAGGTCTTGGACGAAACCTTGCACGCCGTGGACTCCGAGAATGGCCGGAGCTTGCAGGACGCCTTCGCCCAGCTGGCGGCCAAAGTGGAGGTGCGGCTTTGACATCCGGCTCGGGTTTGTGCGTGTTTCTTTGTTTTGTTTTCTCGCTCCCTCAGACTAACATGGAATGTCCCAGAAGGCCTCTGCAAGCGGATCCATGTCTTCCAAAGGGGTCCTGGGAGCTTCCATGTTAGCCTGGAGGGTATCTGTTTGAGTTGTTTGTTTGTTTGTTCGTTTGGGGTGTGTGAGTGTCTTTTTGAGGGTGCCCTTTTCAGGTTGGTTCAAAGGCAGCCTATGACTAAACTGAACCAACAAACAAATCCTAGGTTGTCTTGTTGAAAAGGGAAGCCCTTTTTGGGAACAGTTTTATAGGGACACCACAAGGAGAACTTAATTTTCCTGGGCCCGTGCCCTTCCGGGCTCCAAACCACCAATTCGAGGGAAGCAGATATGGGTGCGGCTCAAAATCCAAGATCCAGGATTCCGCTGGTATTAGAATTTGTTTCCATTTACCAAGGTGCCATTTTGGGAGTCATGTTTTGAGCCACGGCCATTTCAAGTGAAGATTTGCAGTCTTCTAGGGGTAGCTTCCCCATTCTTTCCAGGGATCCTTCTTTCTAGAAAACCTCCGGATTCCCAGGTAAAACGCTGGTTTTTGGAAAGAACGATGGTTGAAAAAATGGACAAGGAATCAACCCCTAGAAGTCTACCTTGGTCTCACATCAATGTCAGGTGCTGGACGAGACGCTGCATGCCGTGGACTCCGGGTCAAACCAGCTCTCGGCCCAGGTGCAGGCACCAAAATCCATCGATCGCACGCCAGTCCCGCACCGATTTTGTAGGAAAGGAAAAGGGCGCTAGCTTTCAGTGGTCCAGGTAAACTTGTGGGGAGCAACTTGCCAAGAGGGTGTGGATACTTCCTGAGTTCCGTTTCGGACAGTAGTCACTTTTTGGGCTTGGCAACTGTCAGTGGTAAACAGTGCAGACTTTGTGTGGCCCCTTTTCACTGAGGAAGTGAGTTGTGAATACTTTTGTTTTGTACAGACCCCTATTTGAGACACGCCCTTGTTGCGCGTTGTTTTGCCCATTCTTGCTCCGCGTTTGCTTGACCAAGCGCAACATTTTACCTGTGGGTGTGTCAATTCAGGATTCCACCTTTTCCTCGATGTGAAATGATCCAGGTAGATTCGAAGGTAAACCCGTTTAATCCCAGATGCTTTGGACAAGTGAAGGTAACCATGATGTGTCTTTAAACAAAAGAAAGCAATTTCATCGGCCACTGGAAATCTTACTACCCTGGCAATCATGAACCTGCATCCGTTTTGGCTAGCTTTCCTTTTGGTGCTTGCTGGAAGATACAGGAGACAAACGATTCTTGCTGTCTCTTATGGGTTTGGGGACCTCGCATGCTCGGCCATGTTGAGAGCCCATGAGACCTCCGACCAGCCTGGAAGAATCAGGCAGTGCTTCGATATGCCGGATAGTAGTGGTTGATTTGTTGATTTGCTCAACTGCCATTGAAAACATTGGCTGCTTGGCTTAGTGGTTTAGTTATAGAAAATGTTTTGCTAACAGACCAATGGGAATAGTGAGCACTCCCGAATCTCAGGCTTGCACACCCCGCCATGCTTACGCTTCGAGCCCTGGATTGCTTTGGGCTCGCTTTGAACTTATGGAGGTGGTAGGTTCGAGGGGACGCTGCACACAAAGCTGCAGACATGTCAAATGTGCCTGGGGGTGATGGGAATGAACCGTTGGGGAGCCAGGAAGCCAGTTGGATGGTTCAGGGTCAAGCAAGTCATACTGTGGGCAACCTTCACTTGGGATGGATGCCGGCACAATCCACCTACATTTCATCCATGCGCAGAAGTTTTGCTGTTCATTCCTCCCCGGTTCCCCGAACTGGTTGTTTAAATACTTTTTCAGCCAGCCATTAGGGGGTTATTTGCCATGCATTGGCAATGGGTCCTGGTGCATGAGCCCCAAAACAAATCTGCTTTTGGCGCGCCAGGCTTTGGATGAAAGCTTTCGCGGCGAGGGGGCTCCTTCCCGCGTCGAGGCAGGCACACAGTATTCATTGAGCACAATTGGTTCTCTTATAAAGAAACACGGAAGGCATGAGTAGTGCAGCTCTTGTTGTTGGCTTTTACTTGTGTTTTTTCCCAGACCCCTATTTAGCACTGGGCTTTGCCCAGGTGAAGCCAGTTTCCCTATGCAAAGGCTACCCTACGCGGGCTGTGTCGGCACAGTATAGCCGACGCGCAGCAGGTGTTTTAGTGCTGGGATTTGTCTCCTGACGTGGCCATAGTCTTGCGTACTGCAAAAACAAAGAGCCCAAAGTTCATGGATTTACAGTAACAATGACATTGTTGCGTCTCAGGTGCAAGCCTGCAACTGGCCATGGCGGCAACAAAATGAACAAACAAGTGCCCATAGATGTTGGGGCGCCTTTGCTTCACCCCCCCAAACCCTTGGAAGCAATCCTGGCATGCCAGGCAGAGCTCCGCTCGCTGTCGGCGAAAGTGGAGGTGCCAGCAGAGCTCGCAAGCGGACGTCGAACTGGTTTCAGCTAAATCCGTGTGTGAGTGACTTCTGACTATTTGGTTGAGTCTTCGGTTTTTAACTGTTTGGTTGAAACTGTGCATTTTCCGTTGGACCCACGAAAAGTTGAACTTCTCTTTACAGAGGGGTCAACAGCAACCCGTGATCGGCGTTGTTTTCCTGCAAATTCCTTTTCAAGATGTTGAAAAGGGGCTTTCCCCCAATTATCTCCGCGCGTCACGGGCTAACGCTTTTGGTGTTGTTTTGCTTGACTGCCTATAACGGAAATTCCTCCCTCAAGGCTTTAGGCAGCTCAGGAATCCGGCGGGCTCCATGTCCTGCCTTTCCCAATAACGGTCCCTTCCTGATACGAGTTCTTGTTGTTGGTGAGACGGAAGTTGTGCATGGTAGAACATTCTCACGTTTTTGCCTTGGGTAATAAATGGAATCCTCCTCCATGATAACACTGAAAGGGTACCCTCGAATCAGCTTGTGCGGATGGACCTCGCAGCGGCTGGTAGGTGGTTGGTCTCAATCCATTGGGTTTTGTCCAAGCACAGTCACCCAGTGCTTTCAAATCCATCATGTACAACCTGAAGCTAAGAAACCCTTTCAGTTTTTAAGAGAACAGAGACAGAATCTCGAGTTTTTGTTGGTGCTCCAAAAACCCATCAAGAAAAAGCTCCGAGGTATTCGGCCGGTTGTCCAGTCAGAAAAAAGCCGGCCGGGGCCCACCCGCCCCCGGCTTGCCAGGTGCTGGACGAAACCTTCCAGTCCCAATTCCCCTCTGTTCGGACTTTGGCCGACAAGGTCCAGGCGCGAAGGGCTTCGGCTTGCCGAGGTTGAACCCCCGAGTTTAAGCCCAAGAGCCGGGCTTTCCGACATGAAGATACAGTTGCTTAAGAAGATGGTCTATTTTCCCCTGTTGGTTTTAAAGAGTATCACTACTGGAAGTGTTTGATATATATATATATATATATATTTTTTTCCAGGGGACTTGAGCAAATGGGGGTGCATATGGGGTCGGATATTTGGGTCTTGAAAACCTCGCACATGCGCCGAACTCGGTGCTCATGCTTCAGACAGGATCGAACCCGCACTGCCCTTGCACCTTCCCATCAGAAAGAGAGGAGTGCGTATCCGGCGCTTTGCCCCCCGAATCTGAATCGCCGCCTTGAGACTCACAAGTCGTTTCTCTGAGTCGCTGTCAAAAAGTCACGCAACCGCAGCACGATCTTGGCTCACGATCATTTTCCATTCGTAACTCGCGCCGACACCATGTTCTTCTGGGGCTCCCGCATTGAGAAGCGCACTGCGCGCATGGAGACCCTCAAGCCCCTGCCTCTGAGGCAGGTTTGGGGCCGACGGGGCCGGGGCATTTGTGTGGAGAGGTTGGGTGCTAAATAACCCATACATTTTGAACAGTTATCCAAAGGTAAGCTGAATGGGGGGTTGGTAGTTTAGGTTTTCCAGACCTCTTAATTTGCACCCAGGCCTGGTTGCTTAATAGGGCGGTGCCCCGTTTGCGGGATCGCTTTTGCAGAGAATGCCATCACGTTGTTTATTCCCGGGTCGGCATTAGGTGGTTTGAAGCCTACAGAGGCAGCCATGTACCATCCCCTGCCCTTGGGGTATCTTCCGCTTTTCTTTGTGTGTGTGTTTTTTGGGGGGAGGGAGCCGGGTCTTTTAACAGACCTCAGTTGGGGAATGGATTGAATACCGTGGATGGCAAGTTCTATGCCAGTTGGGATGGAGCCAAGCCTGTGAATACTGGGGTAAAACACCTACCAACCGGTGCAAAGCAGATTTGTCCATCCACAGTAGTTCCTTTTGGTGGATGATTAGGAACTGCCTGAAGCCAGCGGAAGCCTTGAAGTTTGAACCAAACTGACCCAAAAGGACATCTGTATAAAGATGTGCCTTTCTTGAGAAGGTGCCCTCTGTCCGAAGCCAGCTTGAACAGACCTTGGAGCTAGCGCGTCTCAGCTTTGTGTGGCCCCGGTCCACATCCATGAGATGGGGCCCCCTTTTAATGGAGAATCCCCAAATGTTTCCCTTGGGTAAATGGAACAGAACAAGTTTTCTCTTTTTGGGGGTTGGTTCGGGCAAGGGAGAAGCCCATGTTGACTTGAGGTTACCTCGGGCGCCGGAAAGGGTCCTTGGGGTCCCTGATTTCAGGTTGAGTGCTTAATCCTTTCGTCTATGGATCTGATCCCCCTTTGTTTTGGGTCCCGGACTTAGGTTCAGATCATGTTAAATCCACACGTCAGGACTCGCGTCAGGCCCGACTCTGTGTCTCTGTGCTCTTTGGAACCGCCAGGGCGACTTCGATGCCCGAGGACATGGAGTCTCCAATGAACCCCCCCGGAGGCACGGCCCACGGCCCGCGGCCCCCTGCTCGTCTAGTCAAGCTGACCGCACTTCGGAACCCAGTTGGGCGGTTTTGGACTTGCGCGATTTTGGCAAGGCAGGCCACCCGGAGAATTTTAGGTCAGCAAATAGTAAATCATCCCTTCCGCAGCCCATCAGCTTGCATTTCTGGTGGTGTGACATTGGACAACTACTAGCCGCTTTACCCATGTTCACTTTTGCCCTATGGAGCCTGAAAAGGCGTCGCAGGAGAAAAGTGGTCCTCCATACAAGCCTCAGTCATTTGTCCGGAAGACCTTGCCACGCAGAGGTGGTAAACCTATGTCATAGGAGAATTGATTCATGTTCAGGGGTTCCTTTGATTTGCATGGCCCTCCAGAATGAGTCACAATCACCTAGCACGTGGATCCATGTACTGGGTGAATTCTCGAAATGTGCAACAACACTGTACATATTGGTGCGTGCTAACTGCTTGTTACTCATTGGGAACCTACGATCAATGAACCCTTCATTGGTTTATGGGTGTAGGTGTTCTGATTTAGACTTGGCTTTTGATCCAACATCTCCCCCGTTAATCTGGCAAATCACAACGATGCTGGGGTTCTTAGGGGGTCCCTGGCTATCGATTGAGTTACCCTCCTGTCCGCTAACATGGAACCCACCACAGTGTCCATTTAAAAGGAACATGGTCTTCCAGGACGATTCCACGTTGGCGAACAGGAGGGCAATTACCCTCCCACCAGTTATGATGGAACCTGACGTTCCAGGGGTCCTGGAAGACCATATTCAGCCAGTTTCCCCTTGAAGGGCCCCGCCCCGTCAGGTTCCATGTGAAAAGGGCGGGGCCGGGTTGCTCAAGGGTCAAGGGCCATTGGTCGCCAGGCAGCTTCTCAGACCCAGTTCTTTGCCGGGCGGACTCCTTCGCTTCCACCAGGGCATCCACTACTACCTCGGGCCGTGGACACTCGCAAATCGAGTAACAAAAACGGCTTCCGGGTTCGAAGCCGGACGCTATATTTTCCCAGAAGGAAATTCCACCTGCTTGGTTTTTGGTGGGAAGTGTGGTGCATGGCAAGCCCCAAGGTTTCAACAGAAAAACCGAAGGCCTTTCAACAGCTTTCCAAAATCCCAGGCCGATAATTAGGGTGTATTTGGTTGGATATACCGCTAAAAAGCCACTGTACACCCGTCCCAGTGCCCTGGGCGAAACCGCGCTTATCTCAGACTGTTTCTATGGCAGGAGATATTTCCTTCTGATCAGAATTTGGCGGCCGAATTGCGGGGGTCCCTATAATTTGTTGGGGTGCCTGTAAACATCACAATGTGGCCTGAATTGAGGGGGAGGGGCATGTGGGGACAACCGGGTGGCCTTCTGAGAGCAAGCAACACTTGGCTTGACCCTGATCAGCACAGGTGGTTCGGACAAAAGGGCAAGGCAAATCTGGCCAAGAACAGCAGCACCACTTGCCCATACATCTCTCACTAAACGAAGCACCAAAAAGGGAGTGGCTTCACTTGCTGGTGCTCGTTCCGGGTGTTGGTTGAATGAACCGGAAGGGAATCCCTTTATGGAAACCATCCAGTTGGATGCTTTTTGTGGGGATCAGACTCCATTTCTCCTTCCCCTCTGCCGATCGCTAGGCTATTTGGAGGGCACGCGTCGGATCGGATGAAATCTCAGGATCCTTGAAGAGCCTGGCGATGCGGGAGCATCAACGGAAGATGCTGGTCATGGCCTTTCTGGACGCCAACGGTTTTATGCACATCAACGAAGCCAAGACCAGTTGGGGTCGGACATGCCACCTGGAAACGACAAACACGGAGGGACAGACCCAGGAAACGCCACCAGTGGGGTGGAGTTTGGGGGTTTGCGGGGGGGGGGGGTTGGGAACTGGAAGCACGCTACCTGCAGGAGTTTGTCCAGCTAGAGTGATGTGTTGGGCCAGTTTCATGGCCATTTTTTGCGGCCCTTTTTTGTTGGGGGGCTGATTTCCCATAATTTAATCGGGTCACGACTAACAACGAATGAACCTATAAGCTAGGGGTTCATGCCAGGCGTGAAGATGGACAATGATGCTTTCCATGTGTAGTTTTACGAGTTGTTTTAGAGGATCCGCTTCGCTTTTTAAAGCATTTTTGTCTGGAAATATCCTTCTAGCGGAAGGCTGCGATTTTAGCTGCATTGGGGATGGGATGATGTAGTATACATATATATATATATATACAAACATTTTGAAGGATGCAACTTGCTGATCTGATTTTCATATGGCGTGAAATATGAAGTGGCTGGGTGTGACCCCGAATCGCTCGGCGCCTCTTGGAAGGAAGCAAATTGCCTTTTTCCTGGGGAAGAGCACCACTATAACCACTCCGCGGTTCTAGTAGGGATCGTAGGAATCTTGGCCATTGGAGCCAAGAACGAATGGGTTTCGGGCGCTCTGGGGGTTGATCAATGTTCCTGCCCCAAATGGCCACGGGTAACTATTCCCATGTGGAAAATATCATCCTAGTTGTTTGGGTCAATGGTCATCCCATGTCCGGACCTTGGGATCAACTCCCATGCTATGAGGCTACCCCTTGCACGTGGCCGTGCGCCAGAACAAGCCCGCAGTGGTGAAAGCATTGCTCTCCCTGGGCGCATGGCGGAATGCCGCGGCCTCGGGTTTTCTTGGGTCTCGCTTTGGACAGATTCATTCGGCTAGGCGTGCCTTTTCCGCGTTTCCTTCTAAGCAAACCCCACATGTCTGACCCTCAAAATACTAGCCTCCAAGCAAATATGTTAGATCCTGGGTGTAGGCGTAATGTGAACCAGAGTCAGAACAACTGATGTTCTCTAACCCGGATGTGGGCCATGGGTTGTTTTTGACCAGCCACAGGCGTAAGGGCCTGTGATTCGATGTAGAAGTTGGTCCATGGAGCCGGTTCATTGCTGAGATTGTTGACTACAGCGGGGCTGCCTTTTGACAATTTGAAACCAGCTGTTCGGAAAAATCAAGGGACCCCGAGTGTAGAAACCCTCTAAAAGTCCCTTTATGTCCCCAAACGGCGGGGGGGGGGGGGGCAACAGGCAAATCCTGTAGCACCGGGGTCCTTATCAGAGGAATTTTAAGCTTGGTCCCTGTAACGAAGGGGTTGGCCTTGCAATCAACAAGAATCAGAAGGCAAAGAGAAATATTTGGCCTGCGGCAGGCACATTGAATGGGTTCCCACTATCCACCGACAAACGTGGAAGTGCGCATGTTTGTTTGTGAAATGCAGCGGTCCTTTTGGGAAGGGATCAGGCAAAGCCCGGCAGAAATGGTTTGTTTAGAAAAGGTGGCGGAGGGAACAAAACGGCTGACCCTGCCAGGGGTTTATCGAGCCTTGGTCGAGAGGCACGGTTCCCCCATTTCGTTTCGCGCCTTTGCACCCTTTGCAAAGGCCACCCTTGCAACCCCCAGCCACCTTTGAGGATTTTGAACATACCCTCCACTGACACGAAACCGTGGGTTCAGTCAAAGAGCAACTCGCTTTACGCAGCAGCGAGGTAAGTCAGCGTGATTTCTTGGCCCTGCCAGAAGTGGCATCATGGTTGTTTCCGGCGGGGCAATAAAGCAACACAAACAAGTCAAGTTGGGATTAGTTCCGGTTTTCCGTGAGAAAACCTGTGCACACCCAAATCTCCCCGCACCAGACCTTGAACAGCACCAAAGCAAAATCCTGAGAAGTACCGTCTCAATGGCAGCTTACAGGGGAAACCACCGGCGCCTACACATATCTTGAGAGCCCCTGACTCCCAGGGAAGCATACTCTTCAGGCAGAGAACCACAGTTCCTTCAAGGATACATCCAAAAGTTACCTGCTTTGCAAGAGAATCCTCTATGTCAGCTGACACAGATGATCTTTCAACCGGCCCAACTGCATGGAAGGGATCACAGAAACCCTCCACAACCTCCAACGCTGCGTCAACGACGAACATAGATCTCTGACCGGTTGGCCAGTCAGCAGCGGGCGAGTTGGCTCCGAATGAGTCCATACACCCACCATCGACCCAGCTCGTTACCCAGCCAGCCACTCGCCGCTCAGGTGAAGAGCCGACGAGGGCAAACCCCGGAGGAGTTGGCACACCGCTGCCAGCACCGCTGGGGAGGCTTCGAGGAGGCGGGCGTTTCAACGTGGCTCCAAAAGTTGGGGTCTCCAAAAACGGGATTTTAGACACCTGCCCAAAGTGAATCAAACGTTTCACCGTCTGGTTTGACCGATTTGGTCCTTCAGCCAAGGTGGCCCAAGGTGAACCTGTAATTTCCAGGTCCGCTGGAGCTAAATATGAAGAATCTGAACATGCGTTTTGGGAGGATCCCTGATGTGGGCCAAGTGTTGGCATCAAGTTAAGTTGGCAGAACCCTCTTTGGTGAATCTTTGCACAGCACGGAGTTTTAGTTGCACAAAAGAAGTCAGCCTGATTGGACAAAATATGGGGTAGCTTTTAAGGTTCTTCCAAGGGTTGGGCCAGCTAGAAAATCGCTTCTACCAGCTGACTTAGATGATTATATTGTAAAGCAGGTGGTCTTGGGATGCATCTTTCATATAGAACGCCGTAAAAATATATTTTTCGGAACAAAATGCTTTGTCCGTTTCACTGAATATGGGCCACAAAGTCTGAGTTTGGCCGGGCAAAAGCTGAGGTCGCAATTGTGAACCCCTTGGCTCCCTAGCAAAGCAGCAATGAGAACAAGTCCTCCCCCGCTTAACCGATTCATTACACAGCACATCACCGTTCATTTTGTCCAAAGGAAGCCGAAAAGGGACCCTTCATTGCCGCCCGATTTCATTGCCCCTTGGTTTCACTTGCTGGGACGACCTCAGAATGCCTATTGGTCACACAAACCTTATATAAACTTGATGTCCACCAGAGCGTATAAAGCATCTAAACAACAAGTACCCTGATGGGATTGATTGTATGGCATTGTCAGGTTCTCCAAAGTTGTCAGGTTTGGGGAGTTGAACGAATCCGTTGAACCGTTGTGTGTCCTTAATTTCGGGGAGCCAACGGTCCAGGGATGATAAAACGCTGCACTGAACAGCTGAAAGTGCCTTGCTTGTGCGAGGTCTTGAAGATGTTTGAAGAGGAACCCGAGCGCAAAGATGTGCCTTCCTCGTCGAGTTCTTCTACCAACTCAGCCTGAAGTGGCTGAGGGCACAACAGTCTTAGCTAACATGACTCCATTGGGGGTCAGTTTGGTTTGTTTTCCCCAGACGAGGTGACTCCTTGTCATTGCAGGGCCTCATCTTTGCAGTGAATCCAGACACGCTGTTCAACACACATCTTGGCCGAAAGTTACATGTCGTTTTTGGGCCCCAAGTTGAGGCAATTGATGAAATTGTTCATGTGCATCTGCCAAAAGGGCACCTTCACAAGAATTAGAAAGTCCTCCACGACTTTGCACGACGTTTTGCACCACAAGCTGAGTCATGCCTCTGAGCGGGCAAGAGCCCCGACTCAGGAGCTTGTTCAGGTTTTCAAGTCGGATCGGAATGGAATGTGAGCCACAATCAAAACCCGGGCAAGTGAAGCTTTGTAGGGAACCCAAATTACCTGCTCACATTTGCCTTGTGAGTTCGTTACAGCTTGGGTAGACCATCTTAATACCGCTCGGTTTGATTATGACTCACGTGCCTTGACCGGATGGCTAACAGAACCGCATGCCAAGTTTTAGGAGCCTTACGTGCGGGGTTGAGCTTGTCACCTCCGGAGAGATTCGATCGCATGAAGATGTCCTCGGCGCAAGGAGAAGTGGATGATACCAGAGATCGAGAACCCTGGGGCCTCATTTTGTTGGTGAGTTTCCATTTGGTGATGTTTTATGGAGACATATCGACCCTGTATCATGAAGCCATAGTTGCCATAGTTCATGTTCGCGACCAAAGGGTACCAGGGGCTCCTTCTCTGGGTCCATACGTTCATTGAGGCTACTGAATCAATTAGGCTCGACATAGGAGCAAGGTTCTGGTGTACAGCTCACTTCGGTCAATCATGGAATTCGTCACTCGGTCCGATTATGCCTTCGCCGGTTATCGTTCAGCACGCTTTGTTTTGCCCATGAAGCGTGCCGCCTTGAACTCTAGCGCATGGAAAAGGAGTTCGCACGCCGCAAGGGCAGTCGAGGAAGGGCACGTGTGTTGCCATTTGGCGGCAGAAGTCACAAAGCCGTTTTTATATATATATATATACTCACGCCCTGAGTTCATGGACTTTAAACGTTTTGGAATAAGTGGTAAATAAGAAGTTCATTTTTTTTTTGGCAATCCACTCAGGAAGTGAGCCCGGGAAATTCTACAGGAAGTCAGCCAAACACCAGTGAAAGACAGGCTGTTTTGCTAATTTCCAGTAGATGTGTTTCTGGCTTGTGTGGCGTGTATCTCTGGCCAGCATGGATATACCAATCCCAGGTCCCGCTGTGGCAGGCTTTCATGGCAAGCATGCCGACGGAAGCAGTTTCGAGTTCAGCCTTCACTGCCAACTCTTTTGGCAAAGGTGCAGGCTGCAGAGGATCTCTGCCATCTAGGTAAGGGGTTGAGACTCGTTGGTTGAGTGAGGGTGTGGACATCAACAGATCTCGTTTTGAGGATTGCTCTGAAGGTGGTTCTGTCATTGTCACTGAGCCTTCAGGCGTGGGGAATGTCTTCGCACGAGCCATGTTGAATGACCCTAGTGATCGTGATGGCTGCAGTGGATCCGTGAGGAATCCGGCATACCTTTTGACCATACCCCAGTCCCTTCTTTGATATTATCAAAGATTCTTTTGGGGCTTCTGCGGTATGCTAAGGCATGTTGGAAAGCTCTTACTTCCCGAGCTAGGCGTGGGAAGATTCCCAGGTGAATGTTCAACAAAGGGCCCGCAAGAGTCACACAGTCCTTGCCGGAGCTGTGACCGGACTCAAGACTCGCTGCTCGTGCTTTCTTCTTCACAATGGCCATGGACCTTGTCAGCAAATCAACTGTGAGGCCGGGCGTTGGGCGAATCTGGTGGAAGTTTCCAGGTTCAAACATGGCCCTTGGGAGAAGTTAATGTTTGCCACGGCACTTGTCCACGTTCGAAAAAGCTGCTGGGCTCCTAGGTTTAAGGCAAACCCCGGAAGATCACCCCTCCAAGATCCTGGCAAAGAGGCAAGCTGAGCTGTCAGGCTTTTCGAGAAGTTGCCCCTGGTTCATACCCCGAAAGCTGCCCTTTCCAACCTGTTTTCATATTGGGTACCCTTTCTACGAGGAGTAGCCTTTCGGAGTTATTGTCCCAAGTACGGAAGAGGAGTCCGCAACATCCGTAGTATTTTGGCAACTGTATATGCCAAATTCGCCGGTTGCCCAGCCAGGTTCTTGTTTTGGAACTTGACTGCTTGGCAAGGTTAATTAGGTTAAATGGAGGCTTGGAGGGCGTAAGGGGTTTGTCGCCATTGGATCCTTTGGGTTTCAGAGAGCTGCCGCCAAGGGGGATGGTGCCCCAGCGGTCTCCGCCGGCTCAGGCCAAAGGCTGTCATTGCCGACCTCTCACCGGATGCAGGCGGCGCCAAAAAGCCACACAGAAACTGCAGAAATGTCCAAAAAGGGCTAAATGCGACACCCTCAATCATCATTGCCACAGGCGTCTTCTCCAAAACTATAATTGAAAGTAGACTCTATGAAGCAGAATAAATAAACACACTATATTTTCTGTGTATCCCAGATGTGGGCTCTGCCATGCGCATCATGAGTGGAGTTCGTGAAAGTTGACTTGCTCATACGATGCTTTAGAGGCAACATGGTCTCGAGGCGAGTCCTGCCTGCACACTTGCTGCAAACGGAGTGGCCCTGTCCAATGCCAGTTCAAGTTCCAGCGCTCATTCGCTGGAAAGGGGAAACAACGCGAAGCTACGTGCACGCGTGTTTATGCATGCGTTGGTTTTGATGGCTCTGCACCAATTGTGTTGAGCTCATCGGGGCAAATCAAGCTCACCCATCACGAAGGCCCCCTCTTTGTAGAATACGGTTTGGATGCATTGTTTGTGGAGTGTTCAACTGTTTCTCCCCCTGTTGGTCCGTTTTTATTATTATTTTAGTACTCTTTCAGTATTCTACAGGGATAGCACATCCAAACTGTTATCTAGACTTATGGATCCTAGACTTCAGGTTGGTGAATGTAGGCGGTTTGGGGAACCAGTTCTCAAGTTGGGTGTTGAAATGATTGTACAACTTGCAGATAAGTCAATTCTTAAGGTCCTGGACTCATGGGCTTGAAACTGGCTGGGCAGACCATTCTAGTGGTGAACAAACTTAAGCAGACTGCGTGGGCAAATCCACTCCTGATATGTGAGTAAATATTCCATGTCCTTTTGTGAGACTTCCCATTCTTTGCACCGTTGTCTCACACTTGTACTTTTTATGAGGGTACCCTTTGTATCCTGTGGTTGGTTGAAAGGGAAACCAAACGGAAAGCAATCATTTGGGGGGAGCCCCTTTCGAGACAACCCCCCCCCGTTAGTAGAGTTCCAAACCCGGTAATCCCCCTTGAAAAAGGGGCCTTATTTTGGACAACTCTACATCACCAGTTAAATCGAATGACTCAGGGGACGCAGAGTCATCTTCGGTGTCCACAAGCGCGACGGCACGGTCTATGGGTCGATCCAGCGGCTCGATCTCTCAGTCAGTGTTCACCTGTTTTTCTAGGGGTTGATTCCCCGTTCTTCTCAATCATCGTTCTTGTCCAAAACCAGCTATTTTCCCAAGGTTTTCGGAGGTTTTCTAGAAAGAAGGCACCCCTAGAGTTTTGACCTTCCAGTTGCTTAATAATATGGATGTTCCCGTGTTAGTTTTGGGGCTGTATCGCTACTGGAGATGATTTTCCAGGGGACTGCTACAGGAAGTGACCTGAGGGTGTCGTGTAATTTTGCCGCGAGGTTAATAGGGGCGACATAATTCCTACTAGCCTAACCCTATCATCATGACATTTGGTCCTGAAAGTACCTGCCCTTATGCTGCTCGCCGAATCGCCCCTCATTCATTGGTTGGCAAGGGTAATTACCTGTGGGCCAGTTAAAACAAACCAATCCTTCCACTGATTTAGAGGACCCCTTGCAAAAGAGGTGGTTCTTGGATGCCCTCTAAGTGAACCTGGTACATGCTACGAGAGTTCAGGGATCCTTTTAGTTTCGCTAGGGCCAGGGTCTGGTTGTTTGAACAAAGTTTGTCCATTTAGTCCGGGTCCCGAAGGGGGTCGTGCTCAATCCGCAATCGCATCACGGAACCATCCGCAAACTGAGTGCTTGGGTATATCCAGGTGTAAACTTGAAGCATGAAACTGGATATTCTCCTACAACGTCGGCATCCCCTCTCAAAATTGGTCAACTCAAAACTTGCTGTTGCTCAGCAGGGAATGAGAGAATGAACCCTGGGGTCCCGCAGCTGGGTGGGTCGGCCAGGCAGCGTGAACTCCAAGCTGAGCGAGGCGGATCCGGATGCGCAGCGCAAGAAGCTGGTCAAAGCCTTCCTGGATTCCAACGGCGACTCGTGCCGAAATGGCTCGCTGTTCTTTTGTGGCACCGGTTTCAGGTTGGTCGAAGGGACATCAAAGGGACACTGCCAGTTTTTGGGGATCCACCGATTTCGCGACACGCACAACTTACATCAGACCCCCAGACCCCCACCCACACCCACAACGCATCCAAAACCCGGCCACCCAGCCACCCAAAATACGAAACAGAATCTGAGCTCATGATTTTTTAGGGTCCCTACCTGCTAGTCCAGGATCTTGCAAGAAGAGGGTTCTTTGCTTCCCTCTGTCTTTTTGTTCTTTCTTTGTGGGTGGTTGGGTGGGTGGGTGGAAGAAAGGAACCGAGCCCCCCTCCCTTTCGGAGTTCCATGCTTTGCCGGGGCAGTAGCGGCTGCCACCTTTTTGCCACTCAGGCTTCATGCACGTGAACGAGTCCAAAAGCTCATGGACGCGCACTTGCTTCTTGGAGAACTTGCAACGAGCTGCTTTCTGCGTGACCAGCCACCGGAGTCATCCAGACCTCCAAGTCCCTATAAGAAAAAGTGCCCTTTCCTGTAATTCCAGAAAGGGTCACGAGTTTGCAAATTCTGTTGTTTGCAGCTATCCCTTTCTACAATCGGGACAGCCAGCTTCTTGACTTACTCTGGCTGGACATGCGGTTTAGCTTTCAAAGTTCAGACCTGGTGTCAACCCGCTCAAGTAGGCCCGAACTGGTTTCATCCCAGACTTCCTAAATTAGGGGCAAACATTGTGTTCGGAAGGGAGTTGCGAGTGCAGAATGGCCGCTCAGCCGGTGAAGCTGTCCAAAGAACATCCAACACTGACTTCAAGACAAACAGCAAACCCTCCCACTTGCCTTGGCCATTGCGGTTGGAGCTTTAAGCTTTCACTTTGTGGGAAAGTGTTTGCCTCCCCGCGAGCCAGCAAAATGTGCGCCTGGGGCAAGTTGCCATGATTGGTAAGCGCGTGTATCAAGCGCTCCTTTGGTTTGGCTGGCTGTGTTGTCTTCTACTGCATGTTGCACGCTCATGTCATACCCAACCACCTGTTTGCTTTGTTGCTGCAGCTTTCAGGTCATTGGCCAAGTCATGTGCAGCAAAAGTTTTTTATACGGCTCCAGTGGCTTCGCATTAGGGCATCCAAAAGAGAATGTCAAAGATGTGGGTGTCGTTTGTGTTCGGGGGTATCGATTATGGGGTTGGTTTCAAGGGAAACCAAAGGGAAGCCACCATTTTGGGGGTCTACAAACAGACACACCCAGATGCGCGTACGAGAGAGAGGCTCTCCGCGCCATAGCGAGAGAGGTTCCCCGCGCCATAAGACGAAGCAGAAGAACTATCGGTATATCGCCCCAGGTCCCTTACTTGGTGATCCAATTCTTAAGTGGATTGAAATTGTTCAGATTGGTTTTCCGTGGCTTCCCAGGCCAAAGTTCTACAAAAGATCCCGTGTTTTTGGAGCAACCCTAAGAGCCACACGCAGGCTATCCGCTCCACACAGCGGTTCGCCAGAACAAACCTGCGATAGTGAAGGCGGGGAAAGCGTTCACGGCGCACTTTGTGAGGGCTCGCCTCCAAGGGTTCCAATCTCCACCTTTTCCATGGAACCCCTCAAATCAGCTGTTGAAAATGATATAAAGCGATTGTCCAATTAATTTGCCAAACTGTATCCGTAATTTGTTGTGAGGGGACCTTGCCGAGGCACTTTGTAGGTCCCGTGGCTGCTTTGCCCGCTTGAGGCGCAAAATCGTTTGACAGATGTAGCAAACATGTCACGTCGACATTTGCAAAACAAAAAACATTCTGTATTTTGGGGTCCCCTTCAGTGGAGACTCCTTCTGAAAAGCTTTGCTGGTTGGAGTTCGTCTGGTGGTGCATTGCATGTTGGCGATCCGTGAAGCTCCCAGCCATTTGCGGGGTCCCTCCAAAACTATTTGTACATTTTAGGGTAGGCTAGAATGAAGCAGAATCTGAACATGATCTCCAGTCGTGGGCCAAGATCTCAACTAAGGAGAACTGCCCCCAGGCTAAGCAATGTATATTTTATATGGAGCAACGAGCACGATGCACGGGGGAGAGTGACAACGCCCGTGTTTGTTTTTGCCAGCTGTGGGAACAGACTGTGAGAGGATAGATCCTTGTGGCTAACTCTTTGAGCCGACGGGGGGGGGGGGGTGAAACGAGCCATTTCATTCATTGTAAAGTTCCTGTAGGGAGTTCTTGGCTCAGGTCGGTCAACCAATGTGTGAAATCAAGAAATCGGTGCGCGGGGTTGAACGTTGTCTATGGGCCCCAAGTCTCCCACTTGGCCACCAAAAATGCACCTCTGTCCAAAGGGTCCCCAACCTACACAAAACATGCCCCGTTCGTATCCTAAAATATGAGCCCAGGTATGTATCTTCAAAGGCAACCCAGAGTAGGCTCCGAACGGGGGGAAACATGATCCATCCTCTTTGGGTTTCCCTCTCGAAATTCGAAATCAATCTCTTACAGTGCGAGACTTTCTCCCTTTTTGAGGGGCCCGGGTTCCCTGTACTGTTGGACCCTCTTTGCACCCCCCCCCCCCCCGGAACGCTGGTCCAACATCAAGTTCCGCCCCCAAAAAATCGCGTCCGACGTTGTTTTTTTTCCCATGGCCACGGGTCGACGCGGTGAACTCGGAGGCCTTGCTCCTGCTCGGCGCGCGGGCGGACCTCAAGTCCCGAGGTCTCACTCCAGAGGAGTGCCATGGTCCATGGGAGCAGAAAACCTACACCCCCTGTTCCAAAAACATTTTTTGGTAGGGTATATGTGTCTCCAAATATCTTTTTTGTAGGGGGATATGTGGAAAAAATGGCTTTCCGCGGTGCAAAGAAAGGTATCTCACTTGTTAGTCAGCTGACATCATGCCCTATGATACCCTGTAAAAAAAGTGTGGAAGCCCAACACCTAGTGGCTTGCTTCCTGTTGCAACACCTTACTGTTGTTGTTATTCTTTTTTCGGGGGCGGTCCCATTAAAATACACTACCAAAGAAAGTATATACTCCACAATAAAAGCAGAAGGGGACAATACACTCCCATTTGTGTTTGGTCAAAAACAAGAAGGTATGTGCACTTTTTGAGGCTGATTTCTTCACCTTAGGTTCAAAGAACAAAGAAAAGGAACCCCTCCATATCCGAGTCCAAATTTCTTTCTTGATGCAACCCCAATTAGGCCCTTATCCCAGGTGTTCAGTGACCCTAGTAGAAAAAGGGAACCCCTTTTCAAGGTTAGATCTTTGGAGGGGAACTCAAACAAAAAGGGATTGAGAAATCAAAATAAGCTGACAAAACAGTTGGCCGGTTTTCCCAAGGCCACTGAATATCTGAATACATGACTCTTCAGGGGGCCCATTTCATGAGATCTAACAACTAGATTCAGCCAAACTAGAATGGCCAGCTTGTGGGCTCTGAAGCAGTGGCCACAGAAGCCAACTGCTAGTAATCATTTAGTTACTCACAATGGGAGGGTCCTTGGTACAAAAACCTGGTCAAACCGGTTACTTGGTTACTTGGTTGCTTGCTCTATGGCAAAACTTGGTTTGCTCTTTCACCTTTTGAGCTTTTGACAAATGCCTGCTTCCCCACCAGCTATCAAGAAGATTCGCTGTTTGGAGCGGGTGAAAGACCAACCCTTTTTCAGAGAGGTTGAAGCTGATACCTTGTTGGGAGATACTGCCTTATTGGCCTTCAAATATATAGTTTTGTCATGTATCTCATTGGAATGGCTCACAAACTGTCATTTTCTGTTGTCTTGATGATTTGCATGGCAGTCACTACCATTTGAATACCTAGACTTGCGATTTGAGGGTTGGACCATCCTCCACCACGAACACGAATTTGGATATGAATTTGGTCATGACCATGATCATGCAAATCGGACTCCGGCTCAAGAAAGGTGTTTTTTCGAGGCTTTGGCACCACAGGCATCAAGTCTTTTCGCGGTGTGTGGTTCCACAGCCGTCCCCCCGCCCCCACCCGGTAGTGTCCACCCCAAGTAACTTGCTCTTAAAGGAATAAAGCGTTCATCCTCCCTTTATCTTGACCCTGTTCCAAGGCTAAACCCCTGTTGAGGCAGGATTTTGAGACGGCAGGCTTATCTTCGAGACATGTCGTAGAGGAGCCCTAGTTTTGGTCACAAGTTTGCGAGTAAGAAGCAGGTTCTTCCTTCACTTCCATGTTGAAGTTTCCCTGGCAACCGTTTCTCCGGGGCGCAAGGGAGCTGACATGTCAAGCAATAGCGTCACAGCGGTTCCCACCGCGTTTTGCTCCGCAAGTCGTCAAGTTCGGGTAGCCGTTTACACACATTGCCAGACTTGCGCGGTTTGCCCTGACAGCCCTTTTGCCCTTTCGGGTTTCCTCCGTTCCTTTTCGCCAGCAAATCGTTCTTTCTTGCAGAGGGCCCAAGTCTGGCAAAGAACAGGTACCCTTCCAAACACACACGTGGAACGGCCCCTGGTTTGGAAGACTCGAGGGACCCTCGTTCAGCTTCCATGGTGGGAGGGGACTATAAGGCTTGCTATGAGGGCCGGGGCAAACAATTAGAACAGCTTCCGAGCTTGTGGGGCGCTTCCTCTATCAAAATTCAGCCACAATCATGGGGAAACCATGTCTGCAATTGATTAACGCCTTTTTTTTAGATCGCTGAGGTATGCCTTGCAGCGTCAGAACAAGTGGGGTGGTTACGAGGGCACCGTGGACGTCTTCAAGCAGTTCAGGGACCAAGAGAAGCTTGGCAAGTGCTTGAGAGTTATATACTAGCCACGGACATGTCTGGCGTCTACTCCAAAATGATGTTGTATATTATATCAAGGTAGGCTGAATGTGAAGCAGACTCTGAAAGCCTTTTTGTGGTGGACGGGCCAAGTGGGCCATGATAGGACAACACTGCAAATCTTTAATGAGGGTAGCCAAAGCGCCCAAGTCTGCTAAAGAGACAAACATCTTGGGCAAGATCAGTAGTTTCCAAATGCCAAACTGACCCATCATGTGGTTTCCAAATGCCAAGCTTTTGCGGGCTGCCTTGTTTGGCTTTGTGACTTCCGTTGAGGAAAACAAACAATCAAGTCCTGGGATCAAAATTGGAATCCAGCTTTTCTTTTTGTACGGGGGTGGAAAGCCTCGCCGCTCGCCGCATATTTTGGCTTGCCACAGCTCCTGATGGTTTCAATCGGTGAAAAGGGATGGCCACTCAGTTCGTGTGGTAGACTTTAAGGCGAGTTTCAGGCTATCACTTTCTGTGATGAGGAAGTTCATGAAAAGATGACCCAGGTGGGATGGGACTTGTCCATAGCGGTATCAGGATGATTTTCCGAGATGCTCCCACACCCAAAGTACCCACCAGTGAAGCCCAGCCAAGTTGTCCGGGCCGAGTGGGCTCCGCCGGGCCCAAGTTTGGGTTGCCGCAGTAGAATTTGTAGCTTAAGTTAGAGGGCCCTATTTTTTTGTACCAAGGCAATCCTTGTAAGAATGTCAAATTGGAATCAACCACTTTGGTATCGCAAGCGCAATTTCCCATTTCGAGGATCAGCCGCCAGAGCATCATGGAAGACTCGGAAAGCAGTGGCTCTTCCCACTCCATCTGAGCGTGTCTCAGCTGCCGGCCCGGATCTCTGCAGGTAGCGTCCTGTAAACGGGTGCTCCAAGCTGTCGGGGTGGCACCTTCGACTTTTTCTGACTTGGGTATGGGTCAAAATTCAACCACCAGGGGACCGCAGGTTTTAGTCCATGTTTCCCTTGACCAGGGTTCCATTTTGGGTTCCTATTTTTGACCCACTGCCACTTGTCCAAAGCTGACCGTTTGACCTTTTGGTGTTCCTGTTTTGGCACACGGAGCCTAAAATAAGGGGATCACCTGCCATGTCCGGGTCCTTAGGTTCTTTACAGTTTTGGCAAATTGGGTGTTTCCTCACTAACCAGCTTGCCTGTGTTTGTTCAATAGCTTTTGAAGGGGCCACGAGCCGCCACATACAAGTAAACCAGGGTTGCTGCGAGCCTTCTAGAGCAATCACCCATAGATAAGTGGCGGACATGGGATACTCGCCGATAGTCTCCTTTGGATCAAATCTCTACCGTCTCCGCTTGCGCAAGGGACTTCGGCACGAGCCTGTAAACCAAAACCGGCGAATCCTTCAATGTTGGCAGGGCATGGCTGCGCATAATGGCAGGGCTAAAGTTTGGGAGAGATCTTTCAACAGATCATGCCAACTTCTGCTTTCATTCTGTAGGCAAAATAATGGATCTTCTAGTTTTAGACCTTTCAGCTCGGTCAGTTGACACAAACCACTAAAAGGCAAACAACACACCATCTCAACAATTTGTTTGCTCATCTCGCCCGGGGGATTTCCAAAGGATTGAACGGGCTCCTATCTACTTTAATGATTGTTGGACAGAGGGTAATGGGCGAAGGTGAAACTCTCCCTTAGTTTTTGTTGCCAATTTCCACGGGAATGATATGAAGGCCGATTCATACGGTCCTTGTAATTGAGTAGGGAGTTTCGTATTCGATGACTATTGGTGTTGGTCGAAGTAGGTTCGCTATGTTGCGAGAGTACCTGGGTTCTCCCAAACATATCTTGCATTTTAGGGTTGACCAAATGACTAGTTTCAGAGGCGGCTCAACGGAGCAATTGAATGGTGACACCTCGGCCTCTGACCTCCGGCTGGAGGCAGAGGCTGGAATTCCCGGGCGTAGGCTCCGTTAGGACCTTAGGAGTTAGGAGCGGTCGATAATCAGAGACCCCCAAGATTGATTCGATACATGTGGGGAATGTGGGGTGTCTGTTCTTGAGCGTTTTGAGGGTACTCTGTTTGGGGGGGGGGAAGGCGACGGAAACGAGCCCGGTTTGCGGGCTCCTCCGCGATGTAGACAAACTCATTTTGACATCGGATGAACCAGGAGTCCATCTGAGGGCAGTGTCTGGTTGGGCCGATCGGCTCACTTGGACGGGGGTTTCGGAGTTCGGGGTTCTTCCCTTAAGTCTTCCACTTGAGGTGGCCTGGCGGACAGGTACACGCATAGTATATCGTTTGCCCTACCTTTAGTACCCAGTAACATCTGAGGTCATTGCCCAGACTTAGCTTACTTCTGCCTTTTGCCTTTGTGGGTTTCCTTCATGTCCCCTTTCAATCAGCTAAAAATCACTTTGTGCAGCGGTCTAAGTTTGGCCCAGAAAGGTAAGAAATGTAGTGCACGCGCCAATGTAGCCAATTAGCTATATTAGGATTCGGGAGGCTCATGTGAGGGCCACCATATTTGTTTAGTGCCTTACGGCGCACTCGCCAATGTTCAATCTAAGAAGATTGGGGCGGGGCTAGTCGTTAAAACCTAACAAAAACAGGGGAGACGCCTGAATATCGACCGTCGTGGAGGAATATCCGAGCAAGAGACTCGGCTTAGTGTCGCCTGACATTTCAGGAATGGCTCGAAAACGGCCAATGGCCATCGGCCTTTGACAGCCCACTTGGCAGGCGTTCAAGTTCCAGGCTCCGAGAAGACACTAACCAGACGAAGCCCAATCTTCTCCTTCCTTGCCAATGCACTGGAAGGCGCCTACTCGTTCCCCGCCAATGCACCGGGCGTCCGGCGCCAAAAGAGGCGCATGGCGCATGGAGCTTGCCATAGTGGTTGCTGCAGCGGTTCGTTGAACCGGATAGGCACTGGAGGTGTCGAGGCCTTGGGTACCGCCGGCGGGGCCAAGTTTTGTCAAGGATCCTAGGGTGCTGAGAGGCTGACATATGGTCACTCCGAGCTTGCGATGTGTCCCATGGTCCTTTAGAGCACAGGTAAATTACTGGTATTTACTGGTTGCTAACTTGTTCTTGCTAGATTTGGATGGAAAGCTGTGGGACACAGAGCAAACCGTGAGGGTCACCCCCCAGTCGCCCCAGGATTGAATTCACCAACACGGTGGGTTTTAGTCTCTAGATGGCGGCGAGCTCGGGATGAATTGCACCCCGGTCTTACAAAACCCGCAGGGCAGCAAGCAAAATTCAAAGGCATCGGATGCGCGGATGGAACCGGGTGAGGAAACACGGGGCTTCTCCCTGAATTGTATGCATGCAGGTAAAGCTATATAGACATGTGTGCATACAAAAGTAAATGGGGTGTATGTGTTTCCTGCTAATCCTGTTTTGGCTGGTATTGAAGGGACCCCTTTTCAATTGAGTGCTTCTTTGGTTTTGAACAAGCAACAAATAACCTTCGCAGCAGGTCAGTCATGCGCAGGATTTCCAGCGAGGGAGCAAAACAAGCCAACTGGGCAACTTGATTACAACCGTAGCCTCCCATCCCCCCCACCTATTCATTGGGAGCCGGGGCTGCCGCTGACTTTTCAACCCGAAAACCTATCAGCATGAATAGGGCTCCATAGAGGTTAGCTTCTTAGAGCATAGGATGCATTTCGCCCATTCTACAAAATCGGGCTGGCCCAGAACTCGGTCAGGTTCTGGACGACTCCTTTCGCGAGGTAGCTGTGACCTCCGCCCGGCTGCTTGGAGTTCTGGCCTGAAACGGCTTAGCCTCCCACCAATGACCCCCCTTGTCAGGTTCCATGTGAAACGGGTGGGAGGGTATTATTAGTTGCGTGGTAGGGTCACTTTCTGCACCAAGGGATCCGGGCAAAGTATCACAGAAAGTGTTTCCCACCATCTTTGAGCGGGCTTCAGGGGTGAGCGTTATTCTTTCCACAGATGCTTGTTTCCAGACAGCTACAGCAAACTGGGGTAATGCGCCTGTGGAGCACGGTCGATGGAAAGGATGGTGTGGTTCCCGATGCACCCTCAAGAAAAGACACCCCCTAAATGGACCCCCCTGTAACGGGGCAACGGTTCCGATGGTGAGCTGCCATCCAAAAAGTTGTTAACCGAAGGGGCAGCTTTAAATTCAAGTTTTGGGCAGGCAAGTGGAGCTGTCCAAAAAGCCAATACCCGGTACAATGTTAGTGTTTTGGAAGGGAGGCGAAGGAACTGGTGTTAGATATATTTTTATCAGCCCCGGCCAGGATTTGGTGGTAGTTCAGAGTTGCCGGGGGCTGGTTTTGGGTGAGTGTCTTGCTGGGTCTTAATGAGGGTGGGTCTTGGGCTTGTTTGGGGTTCATGTAGGCTCGGTATAAAGCTGATATCCAGCTTGCTGCTGGGACCTGGGAGGGCTTAAAGTTAACTTTGAGTCGGTTTGGATTGGTTCGGCACGTGGTAGCTTTTGGGCTGCTTCAGGGCGTGGCTATGCACGTTTTGGGCTGGTTTGTGGGGCATTGCCACAAACCAACAAAACAACCCTAAAGCCACTGCTAAACCACCTGCACCCCCAGAACAAATCAGCCCCAAACCAACCCAAACTGACCCAACAGTCAACCTTCAACCCCCTTTGCCGAGCCTAATGAACCCCAAACAAGCCCAAGACCCACCCTCAATAAGACCTCAGCAAGCCCAACACTCACCCAAAACCAGCCCCAAGCAACTCTGAACTGGGGATGCGGCCAACCAACCCGGCCAATCAGTTGCCTCCAAGTGTTCCCAGCCATCCTTTTGAGAGGCAGAGGGAGGCCTTGTGCTGAGCCGGGGCCCGGGGTAAAAAGCCGGGGCTAGTAAGACAAAACCACCTCAACCGGCGCAGGAAACCAGTTAAAAGCCATCCAAGAGGGAGTTGATCTTTGGCCAGATGGGCATTTTTCATGTGTGGTTCACAACCCATTGTTCCACCATTGTTCATGCCGCGTTCTTTGATGTGTGTCAACGCGCTGATTTTTAACCGAACCCCGCCCTGAATCAACAGGGCCCCTCCACCAACAATATGTTCTGGAAAATGACAATCTTTTCTAGGTGGGTTCGGGGTAGTTATTTCGGTCTTCGTCCAAATGCGAGGTGTGTGTGTGTGTGGTAAACACATGTATTGATAAGGGGCATTTATGAACCGCGGAAGGTGACTCATGGTCGGCCTCACAAAATGGGAACGTGATTTGACTGTTGGATGAGAGCAAGCCCAACCCACCTCTCCCAAGCCCGACTTTCAGGCAAGTTTGCGAGGTGATACGGTTCCTTCGGGAAAAGCGTAGTGCCTGAACCAAACTCTACGGCGGATGCCCTATAGTTCCCTTGTTCCTGACTGGCAATGTTTAGGGTGTCCATATTTTCAACTTCCAGGGGAAACTAAAAGAGTTTGAGCTTTGGTTTCGGAGGGTTTGGCTTGGTCAGAAGAGGGCCCGTGTTAGTACGCGTTTCCTTGGTGATGTTTTGAGGCAACAGGAGGAGCAGACGCACGCTTCGACGACATGCACGCGTTTGTCAAGGCCAATCAGGGGCGGCTCCCGATTTTAGTAAGAACATGATCTATAGGTGGTTTCCTCTGACACTCTGGGCACCGCACGGATCCTTGCGTTTCACAGCTCCACAGCCTGGGCTGCTTCCGGCTGTCCGCTGAAGCTTGGACATTGCTTGAACCCCGTTTTTTTTTGGGGGGAGTGTCCCTGGTTTGCAGTGGGAATCATCACTTTTGGAGGGGAACACCCCCATATTAATCAACCAGGGGTTCATTCATCCGGGGTCAACATGAATCACACCCCCATATTAATCAACCAGGGGTTCATTC